CTTCTCAGGTCTGTTGCATGAAGCTTGTGATTGAGGCAGTCAAAAAGTACATTTTAGGTGCTGAATTAGAGAGATTATTAGGTCATGGAGCTGAATGGATAAAAAAATGTCAAATTCCTAAGAAACCTTTTTACATTTCAAACATGGAAAAATATTTGAACTCCCAATAAAATCGTATTATACCAGAATAGGTGATGCAACATTCTAGTACTTATGCTTGAGTACGACATCCTTGGGAGTGTGATGTCAGATCATGCCTCATACCAAGTACTTCCTATTAACAGTTAATTACTTTTCCTTGTCGCCAATGACACCAGAATAGGTCATGCAACATTCTAGGGATGCGATGCGTGAGTATGACATCCTTGGGTCGTTTACTTAATTAATTATGTGTACTAATTATCTGATCCATCAGGTACTCTTACAGTGAGGCATGTTTTTGCCTATGTTTATGATATTTTCATTCTGAAACAACATTATGTGCCAAAATTGCTGGAAAAACACGGTCTGTACCTTTTTGCACTAGGATTCATGTGGGAAATGTATGAATTTACTAGTTTCAATCAGTTATCTAGATTTTTTTTATTTGTGATGCACGACGCTAGCATGAGAATCTCGATGTTATTGCCGCAGAAGTGAGATGTAGTTGTCTACTTAGATATTCAATACAACACAATAATATCGTCAAGAAAACCTTTATCCCAAAAATTTAGAGTCATATACATGAGTCGTATTCTTCCATTTAGTTCTATTAGGCCGTGTTTGGATCGGGGCGTGTTTTGCCCTGAGATTAATTTAACTCAATGTCGTCCTCAGGTATAAGAGTCCAACAGACTATAATGAGCTAAATTTTTAATAATCTGTTTGTTTCACTTTGTTATTAACACCTCTAGTACCTTTTTCATGTTTGGAGCTTGTCGTTATACGATGGTATAGGATTAGAATAGAATAGCAAATGTCCTTATTGCCCTTCTTTTTACTAGGTATATATCACTTTGGCCTGTGTAGCTCTTGATAGAGTCCTGGAAAGTTAGGTTATGGTCGATTTTTATTCATGCTTGTAAGAACTCACACAAATTATGAAATGAAAATTTAGACAATACACATGATTCACACGTTAGATGTGTCCAATAATAAATTCTGCCATACATGTATTCGTGAGATGCAAGTTCATGGATTGCTTCAACTATTCGGAAAAAGCTCCTCTCCAAATACAACTGATTGCAATTAGCATGTGCAGATAAGACCCCAATGTGAGGAAACAAGTCTCTTCAGAGTAGACAGACATGATTACGTAGTTAATGACTCAAAGGTGGGCATCGTTGTTTAATTTATCTCCTGAAACATTTTTAAAAGAAAGTAAGGGTACCTCTAATTTCTTTTCTTTTTAGGGCGCTTTCACTATTGGGGGGGGGGGGCGTCTTTTTAGGTCTAATTCCCAAGTGGCGAAATAGTCTTTTGGACAATAATAACCCCCCCCCCCCCCTTATTTATCTAGAAACTATGGACTATTTCAAAGGACTAAATAGGCCACCCTAACCCCCCTTAAATTTTAACCCAAACACCCCACTATTTTATTATAATGGATATAGGTTTATCATCTCAAAACAATACACAATCCAAACATGGCCTTAAGGTTTATCTCCATTAAGGGGCTGTTTGGTTCGTTTTTTAACTCGGTGGAAAAGTTTTACACCGCCTCCACATCAGATTTTTCGTGGCCACATAGGATATACGCTTTCCGTCGGTTTTTTTCCCATCTTTGGTTCGCTAGGGTTGAAGAAGGGAAACTCGGTGAAAATCGCCGCCACATCAGATTTTTTTCTCTCCCCCAATTCCTTCCTCAACCTCGTGAAATCGACGAAAACTGCAGCCACGTCAGCTTTTTGCCATATAAACAAAAGTTTTTCCTTTTTTTTCCATGCGAAACAAACACAAGAAAAATAAATACATTGGCTTCCCACCATTTTTTTTTGTGCGAACCAAAGCGAAACAATCTATTTCATGGAAAAGTTTGGAAAACTCAAAACTTGTGTTTTTGTACATGGAAATGCATTTCTCTATATCTAGGAAACGAACCAAACAACCCCTAAGTTAACTATTGTAATATCCTTCTTGATTATCTCCATTAAGTTAACTATTGTAGTATCCTTCTTGATTGCTTCATAACAAGTTTTCCTTTCCACCATTCACTAGAATCTCATCGCCGTCTCCTAACCGGTGCATTTAGTGTCAGTAATCAGATATTCGATCTCCAACTTTAGTTGGTTGAAATGATGTCTCAGCAAGTGTTGTCTTCTTGCTCTACTTATACGTTTCTCAGAGCGAGAAACATGGGTCATTACTCCCTTACATTTATTCCTGACCAAAATATACATACACTATCCATTCTCTTATTATCATCAATGCTTTTCACGTGCCTTAATTTGTTTTGTTTTGCCCTCTTCTCTACTTCTATCGAAATACTCGAAACAATATCTGATATTGTTATTTATCGGCAGGCACAAGCTCTTCTGAGCTATTTTCGAACGCAACGACATGGAAATGCTGGAAGAGGATGACGACTGAGGGTGTTCAAGCGAGAATTTGTAGCTCAATCAGATGTATTTATGAGTTGGGATTTGGTTTAACTATTATTTGTAACTATGTCAATGCTTTTAGACGGAGAAGATGTGTCCGAGAGAGAGAGAGAGAGACTGTTTTGGGAGTCTTCTGCCATTAGAGTAGCCTCAGGGATCTTTGTTTGCGTGCTTCGTCTGTAAAGAAGAAAACATAAAGCTGGAAGCTGATTGTAAAGTGATGATGAGTTGGGGCCTGTTGATTCTTTGTCTTTCATCGAACTGTTGTATACTATTTTTCTTCTTCTTTCCAAATATGATGTATAATTGCAATCATCTTGTCTTTTTTTTTTTTTGGCCCCCAGTTTGCTGCAACTTATGGCCTTGTATATATATTTTTTTGCCTTTGCAAAGGCACCAGCAGGGAGAACAACGTGGAAGGCTGTCCGCCCTCTGTACTGCTTTTATTTTCTTCTGTTTTAGTTTTCTTTCGTCCTCTTTTTCCCGACTCCTATTTGTGTAGCAAGATATTGCTGTTTGGTGACTTGAAAGCATTTGGGGTTTTTCCTGATTTGCACCAGGAAGAATCGGCTATCTCAATCGTAATGATAAGAGATTGCAACTTATTTTTTTTTCTTCCATTTTTCATTTTTTGTCCTTCTAAAAGGCAGTAATAATTTAAATGTGATAACATATAATCTGTTTTACATGATCGATTCGAGTTTTAGCTCCATCCAGAATAGTGCTTACAATATCACCCCTCTTATAGCCTAGAAAATCAATAAGTGCTAATCTCCTTAGAGAAGGCGACACTTATAGCCTAGAAAATCAATAAGTGCTAATCTCCTTAGAGAAGGCGACACGTGTCTCTTCCCTCACCTAATCAGACGAATTGAGGCCAAGACGACTCAAACTACTCTTACGGCTAACACTATGAACTGACAACTTACACAGCCGTCAAAAAAGCGGTACTTGTCGGCCACCTCACCCGATCGACCCTATGAGCAACCTGCACTCGGCCTATTGTGTCAGCTGACAACTTACGTAGCCGAGTCAAAAGGTGATGATTCTCGGCCCTTGACCAAACAAAATGGGGGAGACGACAGTTACCTCGAACCTCTCGCTAGCCGACTGCTCTCGTATTAACTGCTCTGACAAAATCATCATTACTCTAGCTCCCATAGTCTTTATGACTTATCGGACCTAGTTAGCTCCAAGCACCTGCTGTCGTTCCCTCATTAAATGGCCAGATGACTCACTTTCTTCTGCGGTTGACACATGTAAGGTATCTGCTAACTCACCAGCCTGACTGGTCTCAGTCGAAGTTACCTTCGTACCCCTCCGATATGCTATAAAAGGGAACTACGCTGCATGAGGTAACTTCTTCTGCTTTTTGGACACTTTGAATAACTACCTATACAATTTATCATTGATTTTCTCACTTAAGATCAAAACACCGACTTGATTGTCGGAGGAACAACCAGAGAACCCAAATCCACCCTCTCACGAGTTTTTCATGTGCATGAAAGAATAGCAGACTATAGAACCAGTTATCTGAAAGAGTTTGAGGACCATAATCACTCTCTTAACTCTAACACAAACCCCCTGTTTGATAACCGACATAACAAATTGGTATTCCTTAACATGAATATGAAGGGTATTGTGTGCTTTGATTTAGTCATCCCTAATTAAGCAAGCTCCTCTAATATTGGACCAGAGTTTGGGGGGAGTCGATTATCCGAATTGAGGCGAGTTCAAGTTTCGTAGCCTATCACCGCGACGCCTACGCCTGAACTTGTAGATCAGGCTTTAGAGCTGATTTTATGATTGACTCTCCTTTACACTTTGGGCTCATATTGATCGTGATGACTAGGAAACATTGGTTGCTGAGTTCAAGGCGATGTGATAGGGTCCACCAACTCAAATAATAAAACAATTTAAAGGTAGGGGGTACATTGCATGTAAAGAATTTTTTAGATTTTTTCTCTCTAGGACATCTTAGTTATTTGAAAGGAGGAATTTTTCAAAACAGTCCTAAAAAGTTTTTTATTTTTTAAAATCGATCATTTTTTTAATTTATCAAAATCGATCTATTTTTTGTCACGTGGGTTTAATGACGTTCCTAAACAGTCGGGGTTGCCAACCCCGACTGTTTAGGAACTTCATTAAGCCCACGTAGTAAAAAGTGAGTCGATTTTGATAAATAAAAAAAATTAGATTGATTTTGAAAAATAAAAATAATTTTGAGGCTGTTTTGAAAATTTGTTCTTATTTGGAAATCACAGATAGAGAGGCCTGATGAGAAAAGATTAAAGTTCAGGGCGGATTTGTGAAACACCCCAAAGTTTAGGAGAGGTTTATGTGGTAAAACTCCCAGAGTTCGCGGGGTTATGTGAAATTAACCCAATTAAGAAGTCCGCTTTACGGAGAGTGGTACTCTTTTCTTTTTTTTCCTCCTGCCCTCTCTTTCTTCAATCTCCCCGCACAAAAACCTTGTCACTGTTCTCAGTCCCCAAAACCCTAACCCTAATAATAATAATAATAATCCAAAATCCCAAAATCTGCAGCGGAGAGTGATGGAGATGGAGCTGGAGCCTCGAGTGAAGCCATTACCGTACAAGGTGAAGGCCACGTCTCGAGAGTCGCCCTCTCAAAAGGGCGCGAACGTCCTCGACTCCGACCTCCGAACCCACTGGTCCACCGCCACCAACAACAAGGAGTGGATCCTTCTCGAGCTCGAGGTCTCAATTCAATCAAAAACCCCTCTTGATTTTTTTTTCCGTTTTTACCGGTGGAAATTTAACCGTTTTGGATTTGCAAACAAAAAGTTCGCCTTTTATTTGTTTTTCTTATTGCCTTTTCTGTAATGGGATCTCCTCAATGATTCTCTTTTAAAAATTAGTGAAAAAAATATTCGTTGTGTGGTGAAGTTGTTTCATATGAGATGTGGATTCCCTCTCACTAACAGCTATGTCTCTTAGAAATGGCATCAAAGCTGACCCCGCCTAGTTTCACGCGAGCGGCAAGGGTGGTGACCTTGGCATTGTAGTGCTCTCGCTTGTCTAGTCTAGTGCAAAGACCAAAAAAAAAGGTACGCTAGGATTGTAGTGCTCGACCGGGACTAAAATAGTGCAAAGCTAGCCCGGGTGGGTGCTAGCACCGTGGAATCGTGGTGATATGTTAGGGCCCATTTAGTCAATTCCTCTCCCTAACAAAATAAGTAGTTATTTTGTGTTATCAGTTAATATAATTTATTAATCCAATGCTCATATAATATCTGTTCAAACTTCCTCATGCAATACACTTAACTTTGTATCTTTACATGCTACTCGACCTATGTCCTAGATGAATACCAATTTTGGCTGTGATTTCTTATACTGATTAGTTTTGGTTTTGCTTTTCATAATTGCGTTGTAGGTCCCGGTAATATTCAAGACATTATGCTGACACGTTGTGCTGTCCACACTAACCGTTGAAGAGATTAGGTCGCACTGACAATTTGTGGCTTCTACCCTAACTGTTAAGAGAGATTAGGTTACACCGACTCTTTACAAATTCTCATTTTTTTCTATACTTTTTGAAATTCCTCTTGTTCGCATAACTATGCGTTTTGTTCTCAATTTCTGAACCCATCTATTTTTTATAGTGCAAGTGGATATTATTTTGTAAATTTACTGATCTGAATTTGTAGTTTCAGTCATTCATATGATTCTGCAATTCCATACTTATTTCTTAGATTTATGATGACAGATCTTTTACTCTTATTCTATTTATTTCCCTAACAGAACCTTGTCTGCTTTCGCATTTAAGAATTTATAATAAGTCTGTCCTTGAATGGGAAATTACAGTTGGATTGCGGTATAAGGTAAGTAATTAATTTCATTTTCATGGAACCAGTCATGCTTTAAAAAATAAATCCATTTTGGTGAAGTTTTGTATCAATAAGAATTAAGAAATTTCTACAAGATGTTAGTTATGTTAAAATAAGAGGTAAAGTTCACTAATCTTTCTAGGGCATCTAGATCCATTACCATAATGAAGTTTTCAAATGTAGAATGACTTCATTTTATATGGTTTATATGATATATGCGTTGAAGAGTCAATTTCTCTGGCCAAGGTCTTAAAACACAGTCTAAGCGCCTGCCTAGGCCTAAGCGGTACCTAGAATGCCTCTAGGTCTTGAAAGCGTGGGTCGCTTGTGCTGATTGCACCGCTTAAGTCTTGGACGTGATTCCTCCGTTGCCGCTTCCACCTTGTCTGACCTCCTCCACTGACTGTGAACACCTCCTCCACCTTCGTCCTTCAGCTAAAACCTTCGCCACCACTTAAAACAACAAAAGAAATCTGCCTAAGCCCTGCCTAGGTGATAGGCACCGGTTCCGCATCTTAGTGACGCCTAACACTTTCTATAACATTGTCACTGGCTATGCTTTGTAGTTGAACCTATCCGTTCATTTTGATGCAACTGCACTAGGAGACATGCATGCTTATACTTAAACTATGTATAATCTAAGTAGTGTGCTATTTCCTCCTATGTATAATCTAAGTAGTGTGCTATTTCCTCCTTTTGTCCATGATTATTTCCTTGGATATGTAACCAAAGTAATCACGATGAGGTATTTTAAATACAGATTTCGTTAGTTGTTTCTATAATGCAGTCTAGGATACCAAATATAGACAATATATTTCTCTCTGATAAGGACTTTTTGGCAAATTATGTTGGTGGTATTTCTGTTCTCAACTGTGCATCCTTCACAATCAACCTCCTCTTTAAGATCTTGTATTCAAACTGATTCACCGAATCACCAAGTCATGTGGTATTGCTGTTGTTTTTCAACAAAGTTTCATTTCACCATCAACCAACCTCTTTAAGCTCTTGTTTCCTCCTTGCATTTTTCATGGTTTGCTAGTTAGTTATCTTTCTTGTTGTATCTTGTGCAATACATAACAAAATGTGATATTTTCATTTGGGATGATTTGATAAGGCTAACTTGATCACTGTCTGGTCAAGTTCAATAGAGACAACGTTATTGATAGTTGATAGCGTCGCGTAGCGGTGAGGCACTGCTAAGGCTATTTGAGGCTATAATGGCAAAACACGCAAATTTAAATAGTGGTCCAATTTAAATATATATAAATATTAAAGAAAGTCAAATAGTTATCGTAGCTGTTGGAGGTAGCTAGAGAGGTGAAGAGCTAGAGGCTTTGTTGTAGTAGGATAGGTGGAGAGGTTGAGAAGAAGAGGAGCTGGAGTAGCTGGAGCAGAAGAGAAGAGTCGGAGAGGTAGTCAGAGAAGAGAGGAGGTGGAGAGGTGGGGACATTGTTGTAACTGTTGGAGGTGGTGGAGGAGAGAGGAGGTGGCTGAGAAGAGAGGAGGTGGCTGCCGGAGGCGGTGTGAAGTGGTTGGAGACAACGACGTTTGGGGAGAGGAGATTGATGAAGGCAGCAACATTATATTTTTTTTCTGTTGATAGAGGAAGAGAAAGAAACATGGTTGGATTTGAGGTTTAATAAAATTCTGGTCGGGTTTAATCAACCCAAACTTCACTTTATCTACCTTTAATTAGTGGTAAAAAATGGATTTTTACGCCTTTTACTGCTATTTCGCCCTTTCGAGCGCTTTTGCGTGCAAAAAGCGCTCATAAACACTATTGTTCGCTGCTAAGACCGTGCTCCTCGTAGCGGCCTCCACTAATGCAAATAGCGCCGCTATAGAGACGCTATTTGACGCTATTTTAATAATGGAGAGTAGTTGAAAAGGAGGAAGTACTTTGTGAAAAGTCTGAGAAAGATCACCGATGATGAGTGCATCTATATGTCATGATGGGAGGGAGTGGGGCTGATATATGGCGGAAAAGGTGGATTATGTAGGATGGAGTTTTTGGGTTGTATGGGATAGGGGCACAAGTCTTGGCATGGTCCGTGCATGTTGAGCGATAATTGTTATAAATTATAATGTGCTTGCATAAGACTGGATACAACGTCTCTGGGTTGGGAGTTTTAGGAGGTTTTCTTGCACATACTCTTATAGCTTGAGGAAGCAAAATGTCTCATATAATCTACTTTCAACCAAGTCTAATGTCGTATGGTGTTGGTTTCTGGTAGATTGATTTGTCAATATTAGAGTTTAATTCTTGGGTAATTTGTGATTTTTGGTGGAGTGTTGGAGTGTATCACTTTCAGAGATGGGCTATCTTTTGTTAGTGAAGTTCGGACGAGACATGATCGTCTAGTTTCTTGAAGTTTCATGATGAAAGGCCCCTTGTTAGGAAAGGAAGCATTCAAGACCATCAAATGGTCACATATTTGAAAGCTTGGATGACCCAAAAACAAAGTTATGTGATCTTTCTTACTGCTGACTAGGAACTAAGGCAAGTTGGAATCCTTGTTTTTCGTCTCTCAAAATGTTGGAGAATGTGTTTTGTAATGCTGGAATATTTGTTTTGTCCTAATTTATGCGAGTACCACATCAATGCGAGTACCTGAATATTAAATCCAATCAAGTGCATATTATGTACGTGGCGCTTGTCTGCTAATGTGTATAAATGATTTTAAACTAAGAGATTATTTAAATTGGTAAGTTTCAAGTTTTAAATAGTAGTGGTTATAAACATTCCAATGGTAGTGAAAGTTAAGATATCACATGCTATATTGTTTTAGTTATAGCAGAGTTATCATGCTTATCTCTTTAATGTTATTTGTTTGTACTATATTGCCCCAATATGTACAGTATATTGTTCCAATTCCCATATTATATGGCAATTTTATCATAGGCACGCGCCCGATTGCGCCCTAGATGCGGGGCGGAGGCGAAGCACCCCGTATCAAACGTGGCAGCGTCTTTTGAGCCTTGCAAGCAATCTGCGCTTTGTGCAGCGTATACACAAATTATAACCTTATATATTTTTGTTCTTTAACATTTTAATTGGGTCTTTGTACTAGATAACCCATATCCCAACACACAAAATAAACCCGTTAGGACTTTTTAGTAGCTTGATTGAGGACCCTAAAATTTGCTTTGACATGAGTCTTGATTTGACTTTTGACTTGGAAAACTACAAACTTTGCTACTATGTTGGATGTTAGCATTATGGATTAAGACATTATTTTGTGATTTCACAGTAGATTGTTATATCTTGACTTATTTTTTATGTGAAAGTACATAAAAATGTTATTTCATGCTTCATTAGCTATCTTGAAAAAAATTTGTGTGAGGTATGCCGTATGCGCCTTGTTTCACTCGGGCGCACGCGTCGCATTGCACTTTGCGCATGTACGCGTAAAGCGTCTTTGCTCCCCGTGTTGCGCCTCATGCATTGGTAACACTTACATTATCTGATATTTTGTAATATATTCTTGGATATATTGACATGGTTGCCTGATTTTTATCTGTCGTTTCCAGCCAGAGGCATTTGTTAAGGTGCGTCCACGTTGCGAAGCTCCTAGACGTGACATGATGTATCCTATGAACTACACACCTTGTCGCTATGTTCGGATATCGTGTTTACGAGGGAATCCAATAGCTATATTTTTTATTCAGGTAAAGGTTTAGATGATTCCTCTCCCATGCACATCCATGCAGACGCGTCCACAAGCTTATGTACACTAGTTATCAAGTTCTGTTTACAATTGTCTTTTTCTAGTGTTGGGCTAGTCAACTAAATATCCTAGTTCGATATTTGATTAGCTGTAAAAAGAAGTCAAGATGTTTACTATTGTATTTTTTTGGAATGCTATCACCTACATATTTCAATTATCACATCATTCCTGATGCGAGGATTTCGTCCTTGCCATGCCTTGTTGCAGGGGCACTGTAGTTACTGTCCTAAGACCTTTTGTTCGTAATCTCCATTGTTGTTTGTACTAATGTGCATTATAGCACTGCCGTTTGTAACTGTTCTTCTTGCTGGCTTGTTCATTTTGATGTTGATGGGCATGACAGTATTCGCTCTCACGCCTTTTTTTAATCAAACTCCGTATATTTAGTTTCTTTCATCTAAATTCTGTTCATTGACATCTAGAATTTCTTATTAACTATGTATGTTTCTTTTAAACATTTGAAGAAGGGCCATATCTGAACTGAAACTGCTAAAATTTTGTGTCTGAATTGAGTTTCATCATTTATTTGATATTTAGCAAGGATGCATGCAGAAGATAAGAAAGGACAAAAGGCTACATATTCATTGTGTGTAAGGCCATGGAAGCACTACATATCTTCAACATTGCATTAACTTTTTGACCATTGACGTTTAATAGTATTATAGTAATCACAAATGGCTTTGGCTGCAAACTCATATTTAGTCTTTCTTGTTACTTATTGTGACAAATTAATAGGTACTTGAGTGCCAGCTAAGCCCTTCCTAGAAAATCACATACAGAGGATAAGTTGAACTAGTTAACTTTGCAATGCCTATCCTTTAAGATTCAGTTTATATATTTACGAGTTCTTTCTCCACTTCCTGTGCATGTGTATGTCAAGTGCCTCTTCTTTTGGGGACTATGTCATAAATGACATTTCTGTTTGGATTCACTTCATTTGTGTGCTTGACTGCTTGTGTTGCGTAGGTTAGTCGTCCTAGTTTGTATATTTGTAGAACTGTTTTTTATTAAGTTCCGGATTTGATTGAGGTCATGGTCCATACTTATGCCTTGATGGGGTTAACAACCATGGTGCACATATTTCCTTTGGTCCAGATTTAGCTGCATACCCAAGCTTGTATGACCTATCTTTTCTGTTTGTTCTCTTAATTATGAATGATTAGTAAATCTGATTTTCATGTTGGTTATTTATTAAGTTGTGCATACTATCACTTTGTCCTTTTCTTATTTTACTGTCTGTACCTAATACCTATATTAAGTACTTGAACATCTTTTGCCAGCTGATTGGAGTTCCCGTGAAAGGACTAGAACCTGAATTCCAACCTGTTGTTAATTACCTGCTACCAGATATTATATCTCACAAACAAGAAGCACATGATATGCACCTTCAGGTAATAATAATATTTGGAAACTTGATAGAGTGCAGTGCATGGTTAGAAATTCCATGGAAATGGCTCTTGTAGCTTCTTGAGCTGCTGAGTCCATCTATGTGAATTGCTTGGTGCACATTGCTAAGCAGTGTGATTAGTAGCCATAAGAAGTATTCCTGTGTATTTACTAATTAGAAGCTACTCACTCTCATATCCCTATTTGCATTTCATCTCCCTCAACCTTTCACCCTCTGTATTATAATATTGCTGCAATTTCTAATGTTATAATCCTCAGTTACTTCAAGACATGACATCTCGTCTGCTGGTTTTTCTTCCTCAACTCGAGGTAAGCAGTCGTTGCAAAATTCAGATTGTATTTAGTTGGTTTGTTTATTTTTTGATAATGCTATATTTGCTAGTTTATAGCAATTGACAAGGTTGCCTTCCTATAAGTGCAGACAGATCTTGCAAATTTCACAGATGCCACTGAATTTAACATGCGTTTCTTTGCAATGCTTACTGGACCATTTTATCCAATTCTACATATCTTGAAAGAAAGGTTAGACTTCAATGTAGTTTCATGCTTGAGCACAACCTTCAAAAGTTTGAATTTTTATTTATTTATTTGTGGATCTGACAGGAAAATATCCTATGGTCAGATCTTGTAAAATTTGCTTTCTTTACATGGAAAAACATGAACCAGCTGTTTTCTTTTCCCTCTGTTTTATTGATTTTTTGTACTAAAATTGCAGGGAAGCTGTAAAGGCACTGCAAGGCTCTCCTGATTCAGATGCTTTAAAAAGCAGCCAGACATCTATTCTAACTGTCTCTTCAAATTTCGAGGTAGGTTTTTAAAACGTATGTAATTATTATGAAATCTCCTACAAGGTTGTAATTATTTGGAAATCCCCTGGCATTATCTTTCTATCACAAAACCCAATGCCATTAAAAACGCTGCTAAGACCCATTTAAAATTGTATGTTATTATTATGAAATCGTATGGTAATTATTATGAAATCTCCTACAAGGTTGTAGTTATTTGGAAATCCCCTGGCATTATCTTTCTATCACAAAATCCCATGCCATTAAAAACGCTGCTAAGACCCATTTAAAATTGTATGTACGAATCACATGCATTTTTATATTCCAAAACTATGCGCTTCTTCTCCCTCTTAACAGAGTTATACAACTAAATAAGGTTCATATTGCGATTCACATTGACATCATGAGCTTTCCTAAATCAGAATCAAAACAGGGCTCACAGAAATGGGATTGACAAAAGCAAAATTAAACAAGGTCCATAAAATTTGCTAATTTAGATTCTTATTGAGATTCAACATTAATTGAGAATCAAAAAATCGAAACAAGCTCAAGAGTTCATAATATTCACCCTGAGCATGGCAACAAATCATATTGAGCATTACATCTCAAAATATTTTAAGGCTTACATTAAGCAATACTCCCAAAATAAGGCTCATAATGAGTATTCTGCTCCAAACGCATCTCTGGATAGAAAATTAAAAGAAACCTAAACCAAGACAATCATTTTCTCAGCAACACATAGATTGAAAAACTGAAAATTACACCAAATAGAGACTAAAATCAAAGGGTTTGAAGAGATTATTTTGATCTTCGACTTATTTCTCCTCCCTCAACAATTGTCGCTGCTTGGGTTTGATGCGAGAGAGGGAAGAGGGGCTTTTGCAATACTTGTTGGAACAACATTATTGAGGTAGCTGAGAGAAAATGCCAAGAATGTGCCACACGTGGTAATGTGGTATGCTAAATGCGTCTTTAACATTTTTTTTTCATGGTAGGGGGTTTTGTAATAAAATGAACATAATTGATCCGCGCGATGCTGCGGCATTAGCGTGAAAATTGCTAGTAAAAATAATGCTAGTAAAAATAATATTTGAACATTTGATCATAGCATGTATCTAATTACTTAGAAGAAAAATAAGACGAGTTACAGCAAAATATAAGAACTTACACTACATACTAAAGTAAACAACTAAAATGCCAAATTAGTTTAAATCTGATTTCGTGAATTATTTTCAGTCTAAGAGTAACTTTTGAAGTGGGTAGATTTAAAAGTAAATGGGGTAAATGCTTGGATTTATTTATGCATAATATTCTTTTTTGAAAATGGTTGGGTTTAAAAACTAACAGGGCTAAAATTTGGGTTTATAGATGGAAAAACGTACCCGTAGTTTGCGATAGCTCATCATTAGTGTAAAAAAAGATAATAAAAAAAATAATAATTTAAACATTTGGTTTAAAAGTACACTATGTACCTAATTACTTAGAACCAAAATATATAGCATGTTATAGCGAAATATAAAAATTTAGGTCTAGAAGTTATTTTGAAAGTGGTTGAGTTAAATATAAAAAGGGGTAAGCGCTTGGATTTATAAGCATTTTGTGTAGAAATGAGTGAGTTTAGCTGTAGACGAGGGTAAAACTTGGGTGAAATATTTTGGGTCTAAGAATAATTTGGGAAGTAGGCGCGTTTAGAAGTAAAAGGTGTTACAACTTTGGATTTATAGGCAAAAAAGTCTTATTTGGAAGTAGATGGGTGTAGAAGCAAATAATACTACTAATTTGGTTTATAGGCAAAAAAAAAAAAAAAACTCAGCTACAATTGGCAATACTGCAATACTGCAACATCAGTGTGAAAAAATGCAAAAAATAGTATTTTGAGCATTGCTTTAAAATATATTGTGTCCATAACTACTTAGATAAAAAATTTAGAAAGTTACAGTAAAATATATCGACTTACACCGTATAACAAACTGTTAAAATACAAGTAAGGTAAAAATAATTTGGCTAAGTATTTGGGTATAAGAATGATCTTGGAAGTGTGCGGGTGTAGAGGCAAACTATTGGGTCTAGAGAAAAAAATTACAATAAAGTATAACAATCACTACCATATATCAAACTATTGAAGTACGAAGTGAAGTTGAACATAATTTATTGAAGTATTTTGGGCTTAAGAGTAATCTTAGAAGTGAGTTCATAGGGAAATTATTTTTAGTTTTCTGCTAAGTGAGAGCAAACTTTGGGTTTATATATAAGCAAAACTCTCTTTCTTTATGCCAGAAATATGTGATGCATCAGCTAACCTGCTGCCTTCTGCATTTGCAAAATGCCATATGCAAAATGCGACAAGTACATGACTTGAACTGCAGACCTCCCTATTCATTAACCAATGCACTAACAAGTGAGCTAACAATTTGTCATGAATATATTGCAAATACTCGGTACTAAAATACTTGTAATGAACTGCGGCTAAGCACTCTTCATCTCCAATGACTTTAGTATATGTACAAGGAAAATTGACTTGCATGATGCCTCGACATCAGTGTTAAGATAACCAAAAAATAATGCTTTGAACATTTAAGTTAAAAATACACTATAAACCTAACCATATAGCAAAAAGGGGAAAAAATTGGTGGAGTATTTTGGATCTAACAAGGTTTGGAAAGTGAGTGGCTTTAATAGTAAGTACAACTATATAGAACTTTTTCCAGATAACAAAGATATAGAACTTTGTGTTTATGTAGAAAAAATATCCTTTTTGGAAGTGGGTGGTTTTAAAATAAACGGGGTAAACTTTAGGTTTATTAGCAGAAAATCTATCAACTATTCATGATGTCGCATAATTAGTGTGAAAAATCCAAGACATAGTTTCACCATTTCGTTTAAAAATACACCGAATACTTAACCACTTGGAATAAAAATATAGCGAATTATAGCAAAATATAACAACCTACATTGCATAGCATATTGTTGAAACATAAAGTGGGCTTAAACTTAATTTGGTGGGGTATTTTGGGTCTAAGAGTGATTTTGGAATTAGTTTAAAAATAAAAGGGGTTAAACTTTGGGCTTATGGGCAAAAAGATCTTTTTTTTGAAAGTGTGTTAAAACTAAATGGGCATAGAACTTTGGATTCATATACAAAAAACCATTTAAAATTTGTGGAGCATCATGAAAAAACCCAAAAGTAATAGTTTAAGCATTGGGTTTAAACAATACACTGAATATATAGTCACTCAGAAAAGAAAAATATAGTAAGTTAAAGCAAAACATAGAAACTTACACCATATATCAACCTAATGAAGTACAAAATGGGGTCCAAAATTAATTTGGTGGAGTATATATTGAGTCTAAGAGTGATTTTGGAAGTGAGTGAATATTAATAAAGGTAAAAGTTTGGGCTTAAAGGTAAAAGGCCATCTATTTTTTTAATTATACCAACATACTAGTCATAAGCACTGTCCATTTCCCATTAACTTTAGTGTATATAGAAAAGATAACGGTAGGGGGTTTCTTAAGAAGTGACCAAAACTTGAAGGGGGTTTCATAATATTACTCGAAAATTCATAATATCTTCTTGCATGAGTATTTATTGGAAATATCTGTATTTCATCTAAATGTTCTTACACCATTCAAAATTCATTGCAAGTATTTTTCATAAGCTTTATTCTTGCGCATACAGGTGCAACCTAGAAGAGCTCGCAGTCCACATTTTGTTCAGGCTACTTCTAGTTCCTTAGCATTTCGGTCTGATGCTGTTTTTATGTTGTTAAAGAAAGCTTACAATGATTCCCATCTTGGAACTGTTTCTCGTATAGTATGTAGCAGTTTATTTTTGTTATTTTTGTATAGTTTTAAGTTTTTACTTCTTTGTTGAGGGACTGTTTCATTATATCTTTTTATTTTAATGTGTTGATTTTTAGGGTTCTACAGCTTTGCATAGGCTTATTGAGCCTAGTGCACCTCAAGGAGACTCTGTTCCTTCTAGTGACTTATCTTTTTCTTCAAACTACGATGAAGCTTCCAAAAGTGAATTGCCAAGTTATGTGCAGCCTGCTGATTATTCAAGCTTATTTGGTGAAGAATTTAAGATGCCTGATACTTGCTGGGATGCCACTTATTTGAACACACTGGATACTGCTGCAGTTGAAGAAGGCATCTTTCATGTCCTTTATGCCTGTGCGTCACAAGTAAGCAGTAACTTGCAGTTGCTGTTTTATACTTGTTATACGTTATATATTTATTCTTCCATTATTACACCTTATTAAATTAAAGAATTGCTCCATGAAAGCTATTGCAATTGATAGTACTGTATGCTTATATAATCACTCTTATAAGTTTACAGCCTCTTCTCTGCTCGAAGTTGGCTGAGAGCAACTCAGATTTCTGGTCTGTATTACCTCTCATTCAAGCATTACTTCCAGGTGGAGGATCTCATGTTTCTGGCATGCTTAATACCTTCTATTATTCATGACATTTAATGATGTTCCATTTGTTATTACCTTGCAGCTCTTCGTCCTCCTATCAGTAGTTCTGATCAGGTGGATGATTCTTTCTCTCAGTGGAAACATCGCTCTGTGCAGCATGCTCTTTCTCAGGTTTGCTTACAATTAGTGGCTTCGTTGTTCTTGACATATGCATCTCTATTTTATCAATGCCTAATAGTTGACATTTAATTGTAATCGCAGATAGTGATGATGTCATCATGTACAGTGTTCCGTCCTCTGCTTCGTGCTTGTGCAGGCTACTTGTCTTCATTTTCTCTATCACATGTTTGTCACTTCATTCACACTTAACACGGAATGCATATTCTGTATTTTGATATCCATTCTCTCGATTTATTATAGAGTAATATATTTATATCCCAGTTACATTAGATGCACACAGCTAAGACAGTTCACGAGATATGATTCCCTGTCTGAACAGGACTAAATTTTGTTTCATCCATTTCTAGGCAAAGGCAGCATGTGTGTTGATAGATCTCTGTTCTGGGTCGTTCTCTCCATGGGTATCAACAATTGCTGCAAAGGTTATTTCTGCGAACTGTTTGTATGGACATCAATTTATTATCTGTTCAGTAACTTGACCTTTGATTTAGGTGGATCTTGCAATCGAGCTTATCGAGGATCTTTTGGGAATTATTCAGGTGCAGTTATTACCTTTTCTCGTACTTTGTTCTTAATTTTCTTAGTTCTTCATGTAACACCTATCAGATCTGCTCTTATCAGTTATTTGACAGGTTCAATAGCCTCTCATGGAGAACATCCACTTTTTTGCTAATTATTTTTTTTGTTTGCTTACATGTGTGTGAGTGTGCACATTCTCATCTGATTGGTTCTGTTGCTTCAAGGATGTGCATTGTTTCTTTTATGGAGGGAATTCATACTTTTGCTAATTGATGTGCGCATATAAACAATTCTTTTACACTAGATTCTACCATAAGGGCTATAATTGTGGCATCAAACATATAGTTGCGGAATACTGGAGAAAACTGATAACTTTATATGAGTGTCAAGGTGTCTGGACCAATAATCTGCTTGCTGCATTTTCTGTTTTTCACAAACGTTTACGCACTGCTTTCGCCTTAATCTCTCTTCAACTATCTGAAACATAATCTCCTTGATCATGTGTTAAAGCTTGTTTCTACCATGACTGCTGGTAAAACTTCCCTAGCTTAGTTTCCACTCACAATCTTTTATCCATCACATAACATATTGGTTAAATAATCCAAGCTGTGCTTATGCAATAATCCACAGCATGTTTCTTGGCAATTTTTTATTCATATTATTAGCGGACCCCAAAATTTGGGATAAAAGCTTTGTTATTGTTGTTATTTTATTAGCTGACGTTGTTTTTTCTATTTACCTTTGTTCAAAATAGTTTGTCTCATCTGGATGTTTCCTTTCTTTTAATCTATTTCTCAGGCTGCTTCATGTTTCTAGTAATTTTTACTATCAGTCAATGCTGATATTGTTGTTTTTTACCTGGTTCTGAAGTTCTATTTCATTCTCTATATCATCTATATTCTTCTATTCTTTTAATCTGTCTCTCAGGGAGCTTCTCATTCTATTGCACGTGCTCGTGCTGCTTTAAAATACATCTTACTCGCTTTGTCTGGACATATGGATGATGTGCTAGCAAAATATAAGGTCTGACATATGGGTTTGGATTGTACTAAGATAACATAAAAATCGAGCTTTGGCTGGTATATGAGTTTCTCTGCATGACTGATGATTTTTGGTTTTGCATATGCACAGGAAAATAAACATAAGATTCTGTTTCTTCTGGAAATGCTAGAACCTTTCCTGGATCCTGCCATATCTGCAGTAAAAAGTTCAGTTGCTTTTGGAGATGTATCTCCTATATTTCTGGAAAAACAGAACAGAACTTGTGCCATTGTGCTCAATATTATTCGCATAGCTGCCCGAAGACCTGCTGTTCTTCCGCCCCTAGAGTCAGAATGGAGATGTGGATCTGTTGCTCCAAGGTCTATGATAGTAACCAGGAAACTAGTTAAATTTGTATATCGAACTCATGTCACTTGTCTTGGATATTTCCACTTCGATGCTATCTTAAGTTAGCATGTGGTTGAGTATCCTAATGCATAATATTATGGCAACATGATGAAACAGTCGTACCGTACTAGGGATGTCACTAAATGTTATACCTTCAAAATATTGCAAATAGTTCTTTCTGCTTCTGGAAATTAGCACTTACCTGCTTTCGACTCATTAAATGAAAAAATAATTAAATGTTCTTGTTGTTAAGATAGGAACAATCGTTTATACTTTGCATCTGATGGTGCTTCTAGCTAATGCTGCTTTTTCTGATTTCGTCATGCAGTGTACTTCTTTCTATTCTTGGGCCGCATATACCATTGCCTCCTGAAATTGACCTTTGCAAATGTTCAACCTCTAAAGCCATTGATCAAGAATCTGAAACTTATGTTCATTCTCATGGAGTCTCTTCCAAGTCCAGTGGATTTGGTGAATCTGATGAGAAGATAGACACATTTGAACCTGTTGCCAAGATAGATGCTCTTGAAGATGCAAACCTTTTTTTTGCTCCTCCAGAATTGAAGAAGACAGTGTTGACAAGTCTTGCTAACCATTTCGAAGGGAACAAGCCAGATAAAAATTTAGAGTCTACACCTAATACCATGGAAGGAAAATATATGTCACTTCATGAATATCAAATTGATAATAGGTTTTTTGTTGAGTTCTTTAATTTGCAAGCAGATTATATACAACTTGTAGATCATCATGATTGTGAATTAAGGTCTTCCGAGTTTCAACAGTTAGCATTAGATTTATCCTCTCAGCATGATATTACTCCGGAAGGTCATGATGCGGCAATAGATGCATTGTTGTTAGCAGCAGAATGCTATGTCAATCCCTTCTTCATGGTTTCCTGCAGGCCCTCTGCTAAACTTCTCGATCAACTGAAAACTAGCAGGTCCAAGATAAAAAACAATGGTGATTTCATGGAATTTAGCAGAAATTCTCAGATAGATCAAAATGCTCTGGAGAAAATAGCTCATCTGGAAGCAAAAAGAGACAAATCTGTCTTACAAATACTCCTTCAAGCTGCCAAATTGAACAAGGAATATCAGATACGTGCGTCTCAAGGTGATGCGTACCTAGATGAATCTGATGATGGAGAACAGGGGATGAATATTCACTCACTTGATATACAGTCTGCTGATGCTGTAACTCTGGTTCGGCAGAATCAGGCGTTGTTGTGTCAGTTTATTATGCAACAGTTGCAAAGGGAGCAACACTTGTCACATGAAATTCTCTTACAGAGCCTATTGTTTATTTTGCAGTCTGCAACTGAACTGTTCTGCCCTCCCGAGGATGTGATTGACATCATACTTCAATCAGCTGAGAATCTTAACGGGATGTTTATGTCTTTATACTATCAGCTCAAAGAAGGAAACATGCATTTTGATTTTGAAAAGTTACATGTTTTGCAACGCCGTTGGGTACTTCTTCAGAGACTGGTTCTAGCATCCTCTGGAAGTGATGATAGGACAAACTTTTTAAGGAAACCAACAAATCAATTACAATTTAGATGTCTAGTTCCACCATCAGCGTGGATGCAGAAAATCCCAAAATTTTCATCCAACACATATCCACTTCCCCGCTTTCTAGGATGGATGGCTGTGTCTCGTTATGCCAGGCTATACCTTAAGGAGAGATTGTTTCTTGCTTCTGATCTCTCACATCTCACCTCCTTGCTAACTATTTTTACAGATGAACTTACATTAGTAAATGTAGCAGAGAAAAAGTTAAAGGCGGTTGATCCAGAACAATCAGTTCCAAAGGATTATGCTGAAGTCAACAAAGAAACAAGGCCTTCTAATCAATCAGATGGTAAAGAATATTTTTGTGTTCTTTACCCTGATCTTCATAAGTTCTTCCCCAGTTTGAAAGAGCAGTTTGGGAGCTTTGGTGAGATAATATTGGAGGCAGTAGGAATGCAGTTAAAATGTCTTCCCTGCAGTGCTGTCCCAGATATACTTTGCTGGTTGTCTGATCTGTGCATGTGGCCTTATTCTGGAGCTGATAATGGTGATGACCATACTGTTGAAAGAAATGCTGACAATCTGAGAGGGTACAATGCTGTTAATGCTAAAGCTACCTTGCTTTACTTGCTTGAATCAATTGTAAGTGAACACATGGAAGCGATGGTTCCCGAGATGCCCAAAATAGCACAAATTCTGATTTCTTTGTGTAAATCATCTTATTGTGATGTGGCTTTCCTTGATTCCATACTGCGTTTATTGCAACCACTTATATCTTACTTTCTGAAGAAAGTAACTGATGATGGAAGGCTGTTGAGCAATGAGCTTTCTTGTCTAGATTTTGAGTTAAATTTTGAGGAATTGTTGGAAAGTATCAGATGCAGAAAGGAGCATCAGGATGCTCCTAGAGGAAAGAAATTACGGGGTTCTTTGATGATCTTCATTTTGGGTTCTCTATTTCGAGATTTTTCATCCAGAAGGAAAATAGAAATTCTACACTCCTTGCTAGAGTGGGTTGATTTTACAACTTCAGAGCCGACAACATCTTTCTACGATTACCTGTGTGCCTTTCATAAAGTAGTGGACAGCTTCCATCTGTTGCTGATACAAAATATGGACCCATTTGGCGCTCTCAAACCGTTCAAGGAAACTGAAGTCTCAGAACATAGCATAGGAAGCCTTGGTAGCAGCTCATATTTTCCTTCTGATTTTGCAAATATTGCTGAGACTGGAGAGACTGATAGCACTGTTGCATATGATCCCACAGATCACGGGCTTCATTATTTGTCTGCAGATGAAATCAAAGAATTTTCGGAAGCTTGGCAACTTTTAATATCCAAATTTATTCCTGCTATTGAGATGAGCTGGAAACTGCATTATCAGTTAGCAATGAAGCTGACATATAAATTAGCAAAGTGTTTCTTTTTCTTAAGATGTTTGTGTTCCATTAGTCAAGAAGATATGTTTACCAGAGAGGGGGACAGGGGAACCATTAGCTTGTCTGAATCAAATGATCTTTTTAAGCATTGGCAGAATGCGCTTGAAGGACTTACCGGAGTTATTATTGCAACTCAGCAGAATCAATGTTGGCAGGTCGGATCTGCTATGCTCGACTATCTACTCAGGTTGCCCAGAAGCATCTCTCTGGACTGTGTCCTCTCTTCTATATGTTCAGCAATAAAACATTTTATTCTCCATGCACCTAGAATTTCATGGCGGCTACAGACAGACAAGTGGTTATCTTACTTATTTATGAGAGGCATAGGTAATCTTGATGGAAATGAAGCAGCATTAATTGATCTGTTCTCTTCGATGTTGGGTCATTGGGAACCAGAGCAGAGATCTGTTGCACTGCAGCATCTTGGAAGAATTGTTTGTCTGGATCACGACAATGGCGTCGCAAAATTGTTTCTCTCATTTCGTGAAAATTTGACTGCATCTGACTCTCCCATAGCCATTCCTGAGTCAGTCAGATTTGTTTTGGTATCAAGCACATGGGACAGGGTGGCAGCAGTGTCTGTATCTGACCCTTCTATCTTGTTGAGATCACATGCAATGGCATTGCTTTCAGGTTATATTCCATATGCAGATAGAACTAAACTGCAGTCATTTCTTGTCGCAACTAATACATTTATGCGAAGTATGGGGAGGATTTCTCCAACAATGGAAGAGTGTCATGTGACACGCCTTTCATTAGGTCTTCTAGCAAGTGCCTGTTTGTATTCTGCTCCTGAGGATATTTCTTTAATACCTGAAAATGTTTGGCAAAACTTGGAGAATATTGGAATGTCAAAAACTGGTATGTTACTGTATTTCCATAAAAACCAAAGTAGAGTTTATTAGATTAAGATGCACCTATTGTGAGTTAATTAGTTATTGTGCATATTTTTGAGATTAGGTAAGGTATATACAGAAGTATCTAAGCATAAGATATTTATTATGCTCATGGTATTTAATGTTTTCAGGAGGGCTTGACGATGCGGACAAAAAGCTATGTCAAGCTTTATGCAAACTTAAAGCTGAGCCTGATGTTGCCAAAGAAGTCAGTTGCTCTTTCTAATTTAATTTTACCACATTTATTTATTCTGTTGACTAGCATAATTTGCTAGCTAGAGGACTTTGAGCTCTATATTTGATTCGATGCTGTGATCAACTGACATATTTATCTGGCCTGCCTTTCCTTTAACTAATAATAAAGTAATAATCATGAAATTATTATTGTTCTATTAGTTGCGATTATTATTATTGTTTATTATTATTATTATTATTGCATTGAAGGCCCTAGAAGATGCGTTGTCGTCAAGTTCTACCACAAAACAGAGCGATCCTAATTTCAGAAGCACACGCGAGTCAATTCTTCAGGTGGTTGTATAATTTATGCTCTTCTTATAGTTGGTCTTATTCTTCGGTGCAAGTACTTTAACCTTGATGATTATTAAATTTTTGATAGAAAAAAATAGTAAATCACTCTAGCAGTTTGTACTAGTAGCTCTATCAATAACTTTTTTAATTTTAATCAGGAATTCCTCAAGTTATCTATGCTATTTAGCACTTGATATACTTAGTTACTGGGTGTCTCCTGTGTCCACCTTTTAGTTGAGTTATTAAAGCTTGGAGTTATTTTTTTCTGCTCTAGATTTCTAGTTCAGGGTCTTGGTGGTTAGCGTGTCTACTGAGCTTTGACTCAACTGGGTTCCCATTGTATCCCAGCCAAATACCAGCCCTTCCCGGCCTTAGTATCTTTATGTAGACATAGATCTCACATAGTGGGTATATATAAAAACACTGATGTTCTTTTGGTGGTCTAATAAAGTGGCATAGGCCAAATCCTTGCCTGTGGCTATTCATATTTACAGTAACTGATAAGTTTGATATAGTGCTTGGCCTTGACAAGTTTTCTTTTATTTTTCTTATTTTTAAAAAAATATTATGAAATATTATGATATCTGGACATATTCTTTAGCACATATATTTCAAAAAATCACTATATCAGCGCATGTGTGTTGCTGTGTTTGGGATAGGCTGTTCAAGGGTTGTAATCGTATACCCGAGTGCAGATCCTTTTGGTTTCTTGACTCCATATCTTGCCCATTTATATAATAGTGTTTGATTGCTTGTTATGGTCCATCTTTCAAATAAATGAGTTCAGGTCATAATTAGATTCATTTCAAGCAACATTCTCACATAAATATGCAGATACATTTCAGAACAAAATACTCTCTTTAAGTTTATCGGCCTAGGAGTTCAAACAAATAAGAGAATTCCATATCCAGGAAGACAAATTAATAATCATATTAAGAAGCAAAACATATTATTGTTTGCCCAAACATATTTTTGTGTCATTATTGACAATGAGACTGAGATAACTGTTTCCACTTTCTACTAGTGTGACCACATGGAATCCATCTTGCAGAATCTATTGCTATATCATTTTCATAGTAAATTAATCTAAAGAACTGTTAGTAAAAACGAAAATCTTAAAAAATGATAATAAGAAATATTTTAAGCCCTTACCTTGCTCAGTTTTGTTTCTCTCAGGTATTTTCTTCTTTAACTTCCATACAATCATACTTCGATTTCTTCTCTAGGAGAAGTGATCAAGAGGCTCAGGTAATTTGGATCTGGATTTGATAGTTTGCCATATGGCTTCTGGTAGAAAATTCTTATTTGATCTTTGTGAAAACGTTTCAGGAATTAGAGGAGGCTGAGATTGAAATAGACCTTCTTCAGAAAGAAAAAGCACAACAAGAAGTGTCCAGAGGTTCTCAGGAAGAGACATTTGTAACTTCCAACATGTCATGTAAATATCTTGAGCTATTATTTGGAATTTTGATTACGTGCTTTAACTTGCTGCATTCATGTTGCTTTCTTCTTATGTTAGGTGCTGAGGATGGTAGCCGCCTCTGCAAAATTAAGGATGAAATTCAATCCTTGTGAGTACATTAATATTAATTCATATTATTTTGTACTGATTTTCTCTTAAATCCACGTTGATGTTTGTGTATCAGTTTGGTTTGGTGTGTGTATATTGATGTTTGGTTTTATTTCTCCCTTGAAACATTATCATATTTACACAACTTCTACTTCTAGTGAGCTCAAGTTGTTTATAACTCGCTCAGATTGGAAATAGTAACGATTATACTTTACAAAATTGTTTGGAAATATTTGATCATCCTTCCGTTCTGGCTGTTACTGATGTGAAACGGGGAAGAGGTCTATCGGAATCAGCGATCTAAATCGAACAACGCACCGTTTCGCCAAAAATCATGATCTTCGGCAGGAAATTAATTCAAAACGACTAATTTAACAGATGGATTTTAACAAGATTTGTAACGATAATCATGACTAATTCCAATCTCAAATAATTTAATCACAGTATTCATTATTATTGCACAAGTTCTACAAACAATACCAAAGTTAAACAATCATATGCTCAATTACTCTCAACTCACAAGTGTAATTTAAGCAGTGAATATATGATAAGAATTTAGAGATAAAATATCCATACACTTAACTAATAAAATGAGACTAACAGAAAAATTGAGCTGAGAGAAACAAAACCTCAGTGAATTACTATTTGGAAATGTTGAGAAAAATCTAAACCCCTTGTTAATAAGTCCAGCATCTTAAGACTCAATCACGATCTTGGTGGTACATGTGCTGTTGATGACTCGACGAATGAAGTCGTTGCTGTTGGTGGTCGTCGGTTGGTGATCGAGGCACAGGTGGAGGTGGGTGCCGGCGTGGAGGCTGTTGGCTGTTAGGAGTTGGGATTTGGCGGCTTTTGGAGGAGCCGGAGGCGAGCTTGGGGGTGTGGCGAATCTTGTGGGAGGAGAGAAGGAGAAGAAACAGGGGAAGGGTGACCTGAGGTGGAGGGCACCAGGGTGGCGGCTGCGGGAAAGAGGCTGACGGCGGGGTCGACGGCTTGGAAGGAAGAGCAGGGAGGCGATTGTTTGAGGGAGTGACGGGAGATTAGGGTTTGGGCCGACGGGAGTTGAAGAAGAGGGAGAGGGAGGGTGGCGGTTGGGAATTGAAGAAGAAATGAAGAGGGGAAGTCCCTAGGGTTTCACACCAAAGGGCTAGGGTTTCACACCCAAGAATTCAACCAACAAAATTCTTTCTTTCATTCATTCAATTCATTAATTCATTCTGAATTACAACATGGTTTAAATACAACATGGTTTAAATAGAAGAAAATAATTTCTCACAAAATAAAATCGCTCAAATCACTCAACAAATTCCCTAAAACCAAATTAAAGAAAGTCAACTAAGCTAAAATGGAAGATTGCCAATTCTTGTCCTCATTATTCACTTCGGGTGGGAGAAACTCGACTCCGTCGAGTTAGTTGCAGAAATGTGTCATCTTCAATATACTCTGTCTGCATCTTAATCTGTCATTAGTTATTTTTCTGCATCTCAGATCATTAACTAAATTACATTGTAAATTCACCATAAAAAATATTATCAAAATTCACTGCTGTATGGGTGAATATATAGAAGTGGAATAAAGTGTAAAAACTCTCAATAACAATAGGCTAGGGTCAGGCTTATATCAGTGGACTATCAATAACATTCGTGAACTGCTTAATCAATCAATATTGAGAATAGAACTATGATCAAATCAATAATACAAATGTTATCATTAATTAGTTCAAGAGTTGGAAAAGTTCATAAATATCATGTCAAATCATAAACAGTTATAAAGAAATGTATTGGACAAGTCTAAACCATCTAAAATATCAGCATTAACAGTTTTAAAATTATATCCTGATTCCATATCATACATTTCAGTTAACAATGTATTTATTCAAATTAGATCACTGATTCTCTAATATATGATCAATGCAATTCAAAAAATGATGTGAATCAACTCAAATGATTATGATGAAATGCAGACTCGGACAATGCGATCAACGACAGATATAAACTCAACGTAGTGCTTAACATGTATGGCGTCCTCTATCATTGGGAATGATTAGGTGTTCTTTCATTAATATCAAGGTTTTAAATATCGGTTATCAGGGATTTATCGGACGGCCAAAATCCTTATCGGATAGCGAAAATCGGGGATATATCGGGGATAAGTAGTATTTATCGGAGTGATATATTGGATGATGTGTATATATAATATAACAATTAAAAAATATAATCTAATCATGCTTAATGAAATATAAACATACCAAAATGTAAATCATCATGTTTAGAATCATTAACCAATTGTAGAAAGCGAAACTTGCATCATACCCTTGAAAAAAATATAATGTTAGTCAAAATTGGCCGATAATCCCGATAAAAAAGTCTTACTTATCGGCCGATAAGTGCCGATAAATCGCCGATAAACCTACCGATAATCCCGATAAAAAAGTCTTACTTATCGGCCGATAAGTGCCGATAAATCGCCGATAAACCTAAATAAACAATAACCGATTAAAAATCCAATTTATCCTAGCGGAGAGCTCCCAAATCCGATAACTCGGCCGATAATATCGATTATCGGCCGATATTTAAAACAGTGATTAATATGCATAACAAATTTCCTATTCTAGCAGTGATAGTGAGGAACATGAAAACAAATGCGTGAAGGAGTGTTTTTGTGCACTTAACATGAGAGAGAAAGGAAATAAAAACACTTGTGCTCAATCTTGTATCCCTAATCACTATATATTCCCAAAACACTCGTGCAATTAGGTGCTCAATCTTAGCATGTGTAAGTGATGGTCGGGACAATGCATGGGGGTTTGATATCTAATATGATAGTTATTTTACTGTGCTCAGTTTTGGATTCAACTTCTATACAGATATCTAAGTGACTCACTTTAGGAACCGAATCAGGAACGTGTTGGGTGTCATGTTGGTCCAAGAGGACTTCGTGGGGGAATATTAACAATGTTTTCAGTCACTGAAGTGAATTCAGGAGGAGTTGGGAGTTTCAATTTCAGGAACAACTTTAGGGACAACATTAGTGAACTCTGTTATCAAAGGGGTAGCTTGGGGAATAATCGGAGTGTTGTCATTGCATGAAATTTTAGTGAACTCTATAATTGCAAGGGTAGTTTCAGAAGGAACGGAAGTGCATGGTTCTTTGATTATACTATCTTGGATTTTCTTGTCAGAGTTAGATTCTGTCAAATCTACGGCCTGGTTAATGTTTTCCTCAATAGTAGCGGCTTATTAATTCTAACTCTGATCGAAGTTGTACAGACGGAAGCAACATGTCCATATCCTTGATGATTGTAACACTGAATTATTGGACTAAGTTTGGAGAGAGATCTCTCTGACTTCTGGCCATTGTGATCGACTCTAGACTGGGAAGAACTAGGGTTAGATCGACTTAGAGGCTGACTAGAGGTATTGGCACGAGAAGACCGGGAGGAATGAGTTCGAAAATCCTGAGCCCTATGAGATTGGTGGAATTTGGCTTCATCTAAATCTTGAACTAAGGCGTAAGCTCTCTCAAGGGTGTTTACTCCTCTAACAAAGAGTTCGGTTTGGAGGTCACTTTTCAATCCATTCTAAACTTTGACAAGACTTTCATCGGTGTCTTTTGCTCTATGGTGCTACATCGAGTAAACAATTCGTCAAATTGAGCAACATACTCTTTTACGGATTTAGTTTCCTGAGTAAGACGATGCCACTTGTCTAGCAATCTATGATAAAACGATGACGAGAGATATTTTCGTTTCAGTTCGTCGGTCATTTCTTTCCAAGTAAAAATTGGTAACTCACCTCTAATATGTCTCAACATTTCGAGGTTGGACTAATATTTTGATAGGCGAGCCCGGTGAGCTTCATTGCGGTAAACTTGACTTTGCGGGTTTTCGTCAAAGCGTACCAGTCAAAGTATCGATCCATGTTTTTCAACCAGTTCAAGAAAACTTTTAGATTGAGCCTACCATCAAAGGTTGGTGGATCAGGTACGGGTTGAGGTAGGGGTCGATGAATGATGTACCCATGACCATTCCCTTGACATTGTGGTGGCGGAGTTGTAACACGCGTTTCCTGCGAGCCTAGCAAGCCTTTCATTGGTGTCGTCAAATCGTGTTGCTTGTTCAGTGAATTTTTTAAAGAGTTCGGACTCTATACTGCTTGACATGCTTGACTCACTAGTTGACTCACTAGTTGACTCACTAGTTGACTCACTTGACTCTTCTAATCGATAGGATAGACCTGTGCGAGTGGGCATGCATTAACAACTAGATGAGATGAATGATATGCACAAACAACTAAATGAGATGAATGAGAATTTTTTTTAAATATCAAATAAAAGACTCAACTAATCTAAAAAATAAAAATTTCCTACCCTTTAACCATGCTCTGATACCAAAAATGATGCGAAACGGGGAAGGGGGTCTATCGGAATCAGCGATCTAAGTCGAACAACGCACCGTTTCGCCAAAAATCATGATCTTCGACAGGAAATTAATTCAAAACGACTAATCTGACCACTGTTTTAAAAAACCTCACCCTAGTCCGCTTAGGCGTTCGCCTAGGCCTAGGCGGCACCTAGGCCGCCTAACTAGCGCCTAGCGCCTAAGCGGTATTTAGGATGCCCACCTAGATTTTACGAGTGTTTAGGGAAGCATTGCGTGCTTACATGGATTGCACCTTGTAGGTCTTGGTTGTGATTTTATGTGTTGTAGCCTACACGTCCTCCAAACTCCATTAACCTCCAAATATGAACATCTCCACTACCTCCTCCGACCTTCAACAAAACCTCATCGACCACCACTTAAATAAGGAAAGAAATCCGCCTAGACACCAATCCGGCATCTAAGCTTTCTGTAAGCTTGACATTCACTATCAATTATTGGAATTAAAAATTAAAAAAAAAACATCTTAGGCTCTGTCCTTGTTAATTATTATTTTGGCTATTTAGTATCTAAGTATGCATGATTTATTGTGGAACTAAAATTACTATTTTTAAAAAAAATTATATGAATTTAATACATATTGTAATTTGAGTTGAGATAAACTTATAATTTGAGTTGAGGAGTATAAACATACAAAGAGCTATTGTAATTGGTAAACCAAGCAATTTAGTTAATAGTGTTAGTATTTTAGTATTTATATATTTTTGATTGAGTAAATATATATTTATCTTTAAGTATCACAATTAAAAAATTAAAAAATTAAAAAAAGAAAAAAAAACGTCCAAAAACTGCTTAGGCGCCCGCCTAGGCGACTAAACGTTGGGCGCCAAGTCCGACGCCTAGAAGCGCCCAGCGTTTAATGTAACATTGAATCTGACAGATGGATTTTAACAAGATTTGTAACGATAATCATGACTAATTCCATTCTCAAATAATTTAATCGCAGTATTCATTATCATTGCACAATTTCTACAAACAATACCAAAGTAAACAGTCATATGCTCAATTACTCTCAACTCACAAATGTAATTTAAGTAGTGAATATATGATAAGAATTTAGAGATAAAATACCCATACAGTTAACTAATAGAATGAGACTAACAGAAAATATTGAGCTGAGAGAAACGAAACCTCAATGAATTACTATTCGAAAATATTGAGAAAAAACCAAACCCCTCGTTAATAAGTCCAACATCTTGAGACTTAATCACGATCTTGGTGGTACAGGTGCTGTTGATGACTCGGCGAATAAAGTCGTTGCTGTTGGTGGTCATCGGTTGGTGATCAAGGCACTGGTGGAGGTGGGTGTCGGCGTGGAGGCTATTGGCTGTTAGGAGCTGAGATTTGGAGGCTTTTGGAGGAGCCGGATGCGAGCTTGGGGTGTGACAGATCTTGTGAAGGAGAGAGGGAGAAGGAACATGGGAAGGGTGATCGGAGGTGGAGGGCACCAGGGTGGCGGCTGTGGTAAGGAGGCTGATGGTGGGGTNGGAGGAAGAGCAGGGAGGCGATTGTTTGAGGGGGTGACGGGAGACTGGGGTTTGGGCTGACGGGAGTTGAAGAAGAGGGATAGAGGGAGGGTGGCGGCTGGGAATTGAAGAAGAGATGAAGAGGAGAAGTCCTCAGGGTTTCACACCAAAGGGCTAGGGTTTCACACTCAAGAATTCAGCCAACAAAATTCTTTCATTCGTTCATTCAATTCATTAATTCATTCTGAATTACAATAGGGTTTAAATAGAAGAGAATAAAATCTCACAAAATAAAATCGCTCAAATCTCTCAACAAATTTCCTAAAATCACTCAAATGCCAAACTAAACCAAATTCAAAATTCGAATTTCAAAAATGAAAATAAAGAAAGTCAACTAAGCTAAAATGGAAGATTGCCAATTCTTGTCCTCATTAGTTACATATTAAATTTGTGGGGAAATTACACCTTTTATCTAAATGTAAATGGATGTCTTTTTTTAACTGCCTGATAAGCATCCTGGAAAAGGATCCATCGGATATAACAGATTGTCCTGTGACCTGGGAAGTTTATTGATGCTAGAGCAAGGATTCGAAAGGGATATCTCCTTAAAGACGATATAGATATCGGGTTGTTCAATATTAGTCCCTTAAAGTTTTAGTAATTTCATATTAGTCCCTGAAATCTTCATATTTTGATATTAGTTGTTCAAATCTTCATATTGTGTCGATATAAGTCCTTCTGTTAGAATTACAGTTAAAAACAGTAAACCATGGTTGGGTTTACCCTAACCATAGTTGGCTTGTTAAGAAATTACTCCCAGCTGCTCCCCCCTGCTCCCTCTTTTCCTTTTCCTCCCTCCCTCCCTGCCTTCTTTGACCTCCTCCTCCTCCCATTGCCCTCGTTACCGAACTCTTCATATTCTCCTCTATATCACAATTTAACCCAGACCCATCAAAGCGCACATCATCAACCCCCTCCTCCTCATTCTCCTCGCCAATAAAAGTGGGTTGAGCTCCAACCAAAGGATTAGCCTCAAGGGGCATCAACATCTTTGACCCATTAACAAACTGAGGGGTTTCAAAAGCTTGGAATCTAGCTTAATGGGTTGTTTGAAATTGAATTACTGGGGAGATCAGTGAAGCTTAGGCTTGAGAGGAGTGCTAAGCCCAAATGGGTTGAGGCCAAAAGGGTTTGTAGAGAGGAGAGAGAGAGAGAGAGAGAGAGAGAGAGAGAGAGAGAGAGAGAGAGAGAGAGAGAGAGAGAGATATATAGAGAGAGAGAGAGAGAGAGAGAGAGAGAGAGAGAGAGAGGGATTCTTGATGGGTTTGGAAAGAAAAGGATTCTTGATCACTTCAAACCAGAAAACTTCTTTATCACCTTGGAAGTTCAGATGGGTTCGGGATCTAGGTTGGAGATGGAGAAATGTAGTGTGGAGGAGTGGCAATGGCATTTTAATAACCCTTCAATTTAAATAGCCGCTGATTTTTAGGTGTAAAGTGATGTTTACTGTTGTGGAAAAGAAGAAAGGGGAAATGGGTTTGGGTTGTTTTAAACGAGTATGGGTTGTAGGGGGAGTTATTGATGGGTTTGGGTTTCTTAGGTGAGGGTCATAAATGCCAGTTTATGGCCGGGGTTAAACATAATGGAATATTCCTCCTCATTTATAACCCTAACTAACAATAGGGACTTTTATCAACACAATATGAAGATTTGAGGGGCTAATATCAAAATATGAAGATTTGAGTGACTAATATCGAGTTACTAAAGATTTAAGGGACTAGTATCGGAAAACCCCTTTAGATATTTATTTGTTGAATATTCACATAACTAAATCTAATCTTTACCCAGACTATCTAGATGGAGTTAAAAGATTATTATTCTTTTGTTTGGGATTGCTAGTTGGGTGTGTGTATTACCTATTTTACTATTTCTGTCTAGCATGTCAGGAGGCACGATCACTTCACATTTGGTCTCCTACCACTTTCGAACAAGCCTACTTGCTTGACACGTGCTATATTCTTAGCTTATAGATACCAAAAAAATCCACTGCTACTTTAGGTCTAAAATTGGTTTGTTAGACATTCCAGAGACGTGATTGGGATAAGTAACAAAAAATGAACATTGACAGTTCTGTATTACAATAAGAAACAACCCCGCCTGCCAGTCCAATTCAATATATGCTCAAACTTAATATATTGTTGGTTGCATGGCAGTGTATCTTTTGTTCTTTTGGATTTTAAACTCCTATGCTAAATTGAAGTTGATGCAAAACATCAAATATAGATGCAAAATATATTGAATACTGCTTATACAAGCTTAGCAATACAACTGTTCGAACGTTCTGTAACACCTGACATTATTGTTTCTTCACTTCTTCACCAAGTAGTTTCCTTTCTCCTACCTTAACTTTTCTTATATTGGACATGCAGGGAGAAGGCCAAACTAAGAGAAGAGATAGCAGCTCGCAGACAAAAGAAACTTCTGATGAGGCGTACTCGTCAGAAATCTTTAGAAGAAGCAGCTTCACGGGAAATGCAGCTTCTTCAAGAGATTGATAGGTTTGTCTGAAACTCATCTTGCTATCTCTTACCAAATTATATCAATAATTATAGTTACTATTGCTTAATTTGTGAATCTGCAGGGAAAGGACAATTGAAATGGAACGTACAATTGAGAGGCAGCGTCAATTGGAGCTTGAACGTTCAAAAACCAGGGAGCTGCAGTTTAACCTTGATATGGAAAGGGAAAGACAAACTCAGGTAGTCTCATGAACTTTGGGAAGCTCTGAATTGGGCAAATCTCGCATTTAATCTATTTAGGGCTGAGTAATAAGCAGAAATATCCCAACACTTTGTTATATTACATACTTTATTATGATTTCTTTTAAATAGATAGTTTAAACTTTAAAGTATCTAAATATGAATTTATACATTTTGTTTGTATGGAAATTTAAGGTTAATAGATTTATTGATAATATTATGATGTCGCTTTTATTTTAATCTATATATAGTCCAATTTATGCTAAGCCAAACTAAAGTATTGCATTATTAAATCTATGGGAAAGGGATATTTTAGTGTGTTGCCTGTCATACAATCCGAGCAGGAATATCAGTAATTTGTTGTCTTGCTCAAACCATAACATTCTTCCACCCCAAAGAATGTTGCTTCCGGTTATATGATGATGGCTTAAGATTAAGCTGCAGATCGTGTAATTGACTGATTGTGACAGAGCTTATTGTGTCAGTTCTGATGCAAAAGAAGAGAGTATTTTTCCTTTTGTTGCTTTTATGTATTATACTGATTACACTTCCTGTTTCCATTTTTCTAGAAAGAGCTTCAAAGGGAACTGGAGCAGGTTGAATCTGGGGTCCGTTCATCACGGCGAGAGTTCTCTTCTAATCCTAACAGGTAAGATCAATCTCTCACTATTTCCAACAACATATTAAGATAGATTTCAAATTAAAGATTTTATTCTATAATTGCATATCCTACTTTAAAATTTCAAATGATGGAAGTTCTTCTTCTATAACCACAGATCCGGCTTATCATTGTGATGTCAAATTTCTTTTCATTTTTACTTCTTCAAGTTTTAGGGGCTGTTTGGTTCAATTTCTATAAAAAAGTGGAAAAAGAAAAGTACTCAAAAATTGATTTCCTTGTATTTCTATAAAATTTGTAGGAAAAATTTATAGAACTCAAAAGAGTACCATATTTCTTCTTTTTTGCTATTTCTTTGTTTGGTTCAAAGTATGAAAAAGTTTCAACTTTATAGAAAATATGTTGTTTTCTTTTTCTTTTGTTTGGTTGGATGTCACTTTATAGAAAATAGTTTACTAACAATGCCCATGTGAAATCACATGGGAAGGGTATTGATGTACTTAATTATTTTTTTAATATATGCGTCAGATTTCTGGGTGATTTTTGACCATTTTGAGCGGAAATTGATTTCTATAAAATGAGGTACTGTTCTGTACTTTATAGAAAACTTTTCTGTGAATTTTTTTGAACCAAACACAGTTTATAGAAATCTCCAGAAAAGTTTTATTTACAAAACTGTCACTATCAGCCATTTTCTATAAAGTTTTCAATAAAACCACTCAACCAAACAGCCCCTTACCTGACAGCATAGTTTGAGGTGCGTTACATGACAAAGGCTGTCAATTCCATGTCACGAGATGATGCTTCAAAAAATAACTCTATTGGTATTCTGAAGACTCATAGCAATATAATAGTAAGATTATAACAAGCCAAACTACAATTGAGAAGCTAGTAAGATTATAAAAAGCCAAACTACAATCTAGAAGCTAATAAAAGGTAGTTTATAACATGGGTAAATTTCACGAACCCCCAATACTTTGGGGGTGTTCCCGATGAAACCCACAATGCTCTGTTATTCCCACTAAACATCAAACTTTCCCCCTTAACCGCAAAGTGACGAAAATGCTTCTCAAAGTGAAAAAAAAATCCTTTTACATTCTTTTTTAAAAAATTTCCTCAAAATAAACCCTCACAATCACTTAAAATTTAGTTGGGAACTGGTAAGGGGGAGAGGGGGGACTTTCTTGCTTTGCCCCTAGAAAATAAAAATAAATAAATAAATAAATAAATAAATAAATAAATAAAGGGCTATTTTTGGGCCTAAAGGGCATTTTCCCCTTCGATTTGGGGGTTAATTGAGAAAAACAAAGTATTGGGGGGAAGGGGTTTGTGGGGAACACCCCAAAGTATTGGGGTTTTGGTGAAACTTACCCTCATAAAACATCTATTGTAGAGAGTTATGTGTTCTTGGGTCATAACCAAAAAGTGATCAAATTTTGCATTCCATTCTGCAGTCGACCTAGGGATAGATATCGTGAACGGGATAATGTAAGGCCAAGCAGCAGAGGCCGTGAGAGCAGTTCGTCACAGTCAGCAGCAGCCAATCTCGGTGCAGCTTCTCCATCACCAACAGTAGTCCTCGCTGGATCCCGCTCATTCTCCGGTCAACTTCCAACTATTCTTCAATCCAGAGAGCGGATGGAGGAGCGTAGTGCTGCCTATGAAGAGAGTTTTGATGGGAGCAGGGATTCTGGTGATGCAAGTAGTGTTGGTGATCCGGAGTTGGGTTCGGCATTTGATGGTTTTGGTTCGGGTCCAAGGCGAGGTAGCAGCAAGTCTCGGGGGATTTCAGAGAGGAGAGAGAGGGAAGGGAGAAGGGAAGGGAAATGGGAAAGAAAGCACTGATTAAGCCACTGAACTGAGGAATATCTGAACAACATTTGGATGTATAATGTGCATTGTATCTTTTGCTTAGAGCATCAGTGTAAATTTGAGTATGTTGGAAAGACAACTCAGTTTTTTTAGTATATAGTTGTTTTCCTAAACTGGCTTTCGACTATCAATTCAAACATTATTTATTCCAATTTTTCTTTCCCAATGTTGCAAGTTTTTATGGGTACATATGATCAGGTTCATGGAACAGAGCATTATAAAACTGAAATGTTACGGAGTAAAAATACTAATTGCAGAACGAGTATATTCCAATTAGGTAAGGATACTTCATTCGTTACTTGATCGAATCAAACTCGTGTTACATGTTGATAATATGTCATTTTGATTCTCTCGCAGGGATATTCGATCCGCAGGCATATGGTGGCAATACACATCCAGTTTGCGATCAGCTTGATGGAGATCACAGAGTATGTAAGTTCTCTTTTTTAGATCATTCTATTCTGCACTTTACTTAGGAACATAACTGTTTGCGATTGAGCCAGACGATTTGTTCAATTTCTCCTGAATTTTAGATCTTATATGGTTATTTCCGAAGTTCCATAGTTGAAGTCTCCCTATCTTGACCTATTATTTGACCTTCATAGTTGATATCTGACTGTGTGCTCAAATATCACTGTACTTTATCCTAAGGGTACACGACACTGTTCATTATTGTTAACTATGATACACTGCAATGCATAGCTAGTCATTCTTTCACAATTAAGGAAAAAAAGGAGAAAGTATCTATTTTGAAAAATTTGCCAACTTAGTTTGATGCAGTCTAGTTTTCTGAATTAAGTGCATATAGTGAAGGATTACTACCTTGAATGTCTTGTTTTGAGATTCTATAATCTACTTTTAACGTTGAAAACCACTGAAGTACATTTTGGGGAACCAGAAGTGAATTTTCTGTGTTGGTTTCTGAGAGGATAGTAAATCACTGAATACGTTAAGTCTCTCTCTGGTTCGAGATAGACTAGAAGTGTGAATGTGTATAGTTAATTGCTGGCTTATTGCTAACATTTTTGCAATTTTCAATTAGTCATCTTGTCTATTTGACATATTCATATTTTTTGTGCCTAATCACTTCTTTCAACCTTACCACCTCCCTTAAAAATAAACAGGGACGTTGTATAGTCTCAGTAAAAAACTAGAATCTCCGTTCTATCAGAACCGTCAGCATGCGAGCGGGTGGTTTAAGCTGCATGTGAAAATAAAGAAGGGGTAAAATGGTAACTTGCTCCCCATTGTGTGGTTCGGAACTATCCGCTTGCATGCAGGCGAATCTAATATGATATGTCGTCGCAAAGCCGAAATTTAGCTCTATTATTCCTACAAATCGAGCAAAAATTTGAGAAGGCATAAATTCCTTGGACTGATGCAAATTCTCCCCAAATGAGGGTATAGAAATGCATATGATGTGGCATCTTATTTACCAAATAAACAAAGAGGGCAATAGTTATGAGCTGATAGGTCATTTTGTAAAATAAGTTGACCACTAACGAAGTCAAGGGTCCACGTCCATCCGACGTGACAATTAGGTGAGCCTAAATACTATAAATATTAATGAGTAGATCATTTTGCATCAACAAAATAGACTGCTGATGTAGGTTAAATTTGCCAGCTGCACTGCTGGAGATGAACCTCGTAGACTCCTGTCTAGAATCTTCCTACTGTTTTGATTTATATAAGTGCATACTTTTAATTAGCCGACGTGGCATCAATTCAGTGGTCCCATTATCAATTCGTTATTCCACCTAAGCCCGAAAT